CTTCCTGCTACCAGATGTCTTTTATCCTGCTGCTCTCTTTTTTCCAACATGTGGTAGATTCAAAAAGTAACTGTTTCTTAATGACTTCTTTCCCCTCTTCTGTAGGAATCATGCAAAAAACTAGAGCTCATCAGCTGCAGGCACATGAGAGTTTGGCAGTGGTGGTAGTCATTGTAGCTGGTAATTCTGCTGTTCTAAGCCACAGTGGCTAACTTTTCTTCCCGTGACTCTCTCTCTCTCCCACGGACTAAAATAATTCTAGGCCTCTAGGTTGCCTCTAGGACTCCCTCCTACAACCATGTTATCTGTGCTTCACTTTGACAGATGTGAAGTATTTTGGCTATCTTTGGTGTGTGGAAAAAGGGGTGTCATTTACTCGTTATTAACTGGTGTTTTACTAAAGTGCTTCTATTTGTGATAGAAGTATTTTAACTTCATGTTCATTTTACTTCCCATTTTCCAAAATGTGTAATTCATTTTAACCAATACAGATAAATATAGGGCCAGAGTTTTCCTACATATTTTCAAGTGCTTTTGTAAATTCTTTTCTCTTATGCCTTTTTATTGGAAATGAGATTTGGTGGAATCATTTCTTTTAATTTTTTTCTAATGAAAGTTCCAACAATATTGTTTTTGTTTTGTTTTATTTTTTTTTTTTGGGTCCGGTCGTGGGGCCTGAACTCTGTGCCTGGGCTCTGTCCCTCAGTTCTTCAGCTCAAGGCTGGTGCTCTACCACTTGAGTCACAGTGCCACTTCTGGATTTTTTCTTTTTGCTTATGTGGTGCTGAGGAATCGAACACAGGGCCTCATGCATGCAAGGCAAGTGCTGTACCACTGAGCCACCTTCCTAGCTCTCCAACAACATTGTATCTGAAGTGACTGATGCTTTGAAGAGACACGCAATGGGGAGCTCTCATAGCAGAGGGGAGAAAGGAGAATGAGGTCACTCATGACGATTTCCCGTTTGTCATGGAAGGGTTTGGTGGCTTTTGATCAATGAAAGGTCCATCTTCTAAAAATAACTAATTTTAGACTCCACGTACATGTCCCTATACAAAACTGTGTGTAGCTTGTATACATGTAACACTACAGGTTGAGTGACAGGATTTTTTAAAAATTACTTAACAGTAGTTAGGAGGGAAATCAATTTCATTGGTATGCATGTATGTGTGTGGGAATGTGATGGTGCTGGGGCTTGACTTCAGGGTATTGTGCTTTCTTTCTCTTATTGTAGCTGGGTGCCAGTGGCTCATGACTGTAATCCTAGCTACTCAGGAGACTGATTGCTGAGGACTGTGGATCACAATCAGCTCCTGCAGAAAAGTCTGTGAGACTTTTATCTCCAATAAACCACCAGAAAACCAGAAGTGAAGCTGTGGCTCAAAGAAGTAGAGCACTAGCCTTGGGTAAAAAGAGCTCAAGGACAATTGCCCAGGCCGGGAGTTCAAGCTCCATGACTGACATTCAATCAATCAATAAATATAGTAGGAAGTAGATATAACTTTTTGTTTGTTTGGAGGTTTTTGATTGGCTGGTTCTTTTTTTTTTTTGGTGGGTCGTGGGGCTTGAACTCTGGGCCTGGGCACTGTCACTGTGCTCTTCAGCTCCAGGCAAGTGCTCTACCGCTTGAGCCACTGTGCCACTTCCGGTTTTCTAGTGGTTTATTGGAAATAAGAGTCTCACGGACTTTCCTGCCTGGGATGGCTTTGAATCGCGACTCTCAGATCTCAGCCTCCTGAGTAGCAAGGTTTACAGGCATGAGCCAACAGTGCCCGGCTTTTGGTGGGTTCTTTTGAGATGGGTTTTGCTATATAGCCCAAGCTAGCTTAAAACTCATGACCCCCCCTTACTTAGATTCTTGAAAACTGGAATTACAGACATGTACTGCCAAGCCTGGGTAGATACTCCCTTGTATGTGTGTATGTGTGCAAGTGTACCAGTCCTAGGGCATGAACTCAGGGCCAGGATGCTCTCTTTGCACTTTTTCACTCAAGGCTAGTGGTCTACCACTTGAGCCACATCTCCATGTTTGGCTTTTTGGTGGTTAATGGGAGATGAAAGTCTCCTGGATTTTCCTGCCTGGGCTGATTTTGGGCTGCAACCTCAGCTTTCAGCCCCCTGAGTAGCTAGGATTATAGACATGAGCCCCTGGCATGCTGCTAGATACTACCTCTTAAAAACAGTGAAAAGTTAATGAAGATAAAATTAAAGGAGATTCCACTTAAAAGGGAAAAACATCTCTCTAGGAACAGTACTAACTCAGAAAGATTACAATTTCTTGTAGTTTCGATCATTCAGTTTCAAAAAATGTTTATGTGTTTGGTTTGAAAGCTACTTTTTTTTGGGGGGGGGGAGGGGTCCGATTGTGGGGCCTGAACTCTGGGCCTGGGACTGTTCCTCAGCTCTTCAGCTCAAGGCTAGTGTTCTACCACTTGAGCCACAGCGCCACTTCCGTTTTTTTTTCTTTTTGCTTATGTGGTGCTGAGGAATCAAACCCAGGGCCTCATGCATGCAAGGCAAGTGCTCTACCACTGAGCCATCTTCCCAACCCCTAAAAGGGACATTTAAATTTGCTCACAGATTTCCATTCTCAAAACTCCTCCCAATAATGGCTCTTATCTTAACCCCTCCCTTTAGCAGTTATCCTTCATGCTTGTCCTGAGATGGGTGGGTTTCTTTTTCTTTTTTCTTTTTGTCAGTTGTGGGACTTGAACTGTGGGCCAGGGCTCTGTCCCTCAGCTCTTCAGCTGAAGGTTAATGCTCTACCACTTGAGCCATAGCACCACTTCCAGTTTTCTGGTGGTTTATTGGAGATAAGAGTCTCAAGGATGTTCCTGCCTGGGCTGGCTTTGAACTGTGATCCTTAAATCTCAGCCTCCTGAGTAGCTAGGATTACAGGCTTCAGCTACCAGTGCCCAGCCTCCAGATGGGTTTTTTAGAGATCCCTTTAACTCCCAATCTATCTAGTCAAGGAAGGGGAAATTCAGTGAATAAGCTGGATAATATTGCTTTGAATTAATTTTCTTAAAAAATATTCCCTAGTGTGTGAGTCAACATGAATTTTTTTTCTTTTTCTTTTTCTTTTTGCCAGTCCTGGGGCTTGAACTCAGGGCCTGGGCACTGTCCCTGAGCTTCTTTTGCTCAAGGCTAGCACTCTACCACTTGAGCCACAGTGCCATTTCTGTCCTTTTCTGTGTATGTGGTACTGAGGTATTGAACCCAGAGCTTCATGCATGCTAGGCAAACACTCTACCACTGAGCCACATTCCCAGCCCCTGTATTCTATTTTTTTTTTTTTTTTAATGAACCCAGGACCAGGTCTTTGTCCCTTAGCCTTTTCTACTTAAGGCTTGAACCACAAGTCTACTTCTGGCTTTTTGGTAGTTAATTGGATATAAAAGTCTCATGAACTCTGATTAGCCACTTTGCATATGGACATTATTTTGTATATGATTATTTATAATACCTAAACCTTCAACCATTTCTCACTTACCAAAATGAATCCAATTAAAAAGGTAAAGATAGCAAGTATTGGTAAGAATTTGAAAAAATTGAAACCTAATAAATGACTGTTGGGAACTAAAAACATTACAACAAAGTTGTCTGGGTTAAAAGATTAAACATTCCAGGGTTTGAACTAATGATTTTCAACCACAGTGGCGCTACACAATCACCTGGGAAATGAGGCTTCATATGATCCCAGCAAATCAGAATCGCCAGATAAAAGGTCTCAGCTTTACATCATGTAATACTATGATCACTTAGGCTAAAGACCATGGCTTTCCACAGAAGAAATAAGATAAGCCAATGGTTCCCAAGCCTAGTTATAATTGCCATCATGATGTGAGGGACAGAGAGATCCTCTGGGCATTGAAAATTTCTCTCCATCTATTAGATGATATTATTATAGGTGCATTTAAGACTGTCATTCCTTTAAGAAAGATCCTCTGACCTTAATTACTTAATTAATGTATGAATTTGTTTATTTAGTTCTGGTCCTGGGTCTTGAATTTCAGGGCCTGGGCACTGTCCCTGAGCTTTTCTTTTTTACTTTTTTTTTTATTGTCATTATAAAAGTGATGTACAGAGGCATTACAGTTACATAAGTCAGGTAATGAGTACATTTCTTTGGGGACAATGTCACCCCTTCCCTTGCTCTTTCCCAGTTTTTCACTCCCAGTCTTACCCACAAGTTGTATAGTTTATTTCCTTGAGCTTTTTTTGTTTTTGTTTTTCACTCAAGTCTAGTGCTATGCCACTTGAGCTAACAACTCCATTTCCAACTTTTTGGGGGGTAGCAAACTGGAGATAAGAGTCTCATGGACTTTCTTGCCTGTGCTAGCTTTGACCTGTGATCCTCAGATCTCAGCCTCCTGAGTAGCTAGGATTATAGGCATGAGCCATCTACACTTGACAACTTTAAATGTTTTTAACAGCCAGCAGTATAATGGCTATATTCAGTTGTAGACATCTGAACTCTTTTTTAAATACATCTGTATTGTAAAAATACTGTACAGAGGGGTTACAGTCTCATGAGCAAGGTCATGAGTACATTTCCCATCAAGCATTGTTACCTCCTCCTTTGTTTTTTCCCTACCATCCCTTCCCTCCCACCTCCACAACTACACTCCCCCCTCCTCCCCTTCCCCACCTCAATTGTAAAGTTCATTTTCAATATAGTGTCTTGTACATCTCATTGTTACCTGTGTCCCTATTTCAACATTTTGTTTTTCCCCTTTCCCTCCCCAAGCTAGAGAAGTGTATATGCAGGGCACCAACATCAAATACAGTGAAAACAGGGGTTATACCATGGGGAAGGAACATACAAAGAAACAAAAAAATTCACATGGTACATTATAAATATGTTAGAAACAATAGCAAGAAAGAGAAAAAAATCACTTGACATCTGAACTCTTTTGAACTAGTCATCGTATCTTTTGGCACAAGTGTATCAGATGTGTTGGTCCTTGCTGCACACTGACATACTCTGTCTCTTCCAGGCTGGCAGACTTTCCGCAGCAAACCTCCCAGGATTATCCATGTACCCTTGCTCCTGTTGAGCCTGCGCACTCGGAAGCAGGAGATGGGTCCATTCTCAGCCAATAGGACATGATCCAGGAGGAGCAGTGAGGAAGAACAGAGCTGCTGGTAAGGCATTGGAACCACAGGTGCTCGTATTGCAATATAAGTATCTTTCAGTTGAATGGGTAATCTCTCTCCCAACCCTCTACTCTTTGTTTCTCTCCCTGGTACCTGTATTATCTAAATTTAGGATACAAGGACTAGATTTTAAGATAAATGAATTCTGTTGTCTGTTGTTGTTTCTTATTTTGATTTGAGACTGAGACTTGAACTCAGTATCTGATACTTGCTGCCACTCTATGACTGAGCTAAACCTCCAACCCCATGAATTCTGATTTCTTTGTGTGCTGACTTTGATGTCTATCTGGATTTTTTAGATGAAAGGAAGGTTTTCATCACATTCTTAATGCCTATGACTTTTTTTTAACAAAATAAGGAGCATTCAAATATAACTGCAAGCATAGAGAAAAGTAATCTCTATAATAATTGTCACTGTATTTCTGTGTACAGTTTTTCTTTTGGGGAGAGGTACTGGCACTTGATCTCAGAACCTGGAGCTCTTACATATCTGTTTCTGCTCTAGTTTGGTTTTCTACCATTTGATCCATTTCACACCTCTACTTCCTGCTTTTTTTCTTGTTAATTGGAGATAAGAGTCTCTGTGAGTTGTCTGCCCAGGCTGACTTTACACTGTGATCCTCAGATCTCAGCCTCTTCAGTAGCTAGCATTACTGGAATAAGCTACTGGTGCCTGGCTCTCTGTACAGTTTTAAAATCACTTCCAGTCTATTTGCCTCAATCTCATTAAGGACCAAATAAGTTTAGTGGCTTATCTGACAGGAAGCCTTGTAGCTTAGTCCAGGCAGCCAGGTTTCATGACAATTTGGCTTTGGAGTAAAGTATAGAATGATAGTTTTTTGTTTGTTTGTTTGTTTTTGTTGGTTGAGGGGCTTGAACTCTGGGCCTGGATGTTGTCGCTTAGCTCTTCAGCTCAAGGCTAGTGCTCTACCACTTGAGCTACAGCGCCACTTCCAGTTTTCTGGTGGTTTATTGGAGATAAGAGTCTCAAGGACTTTCCTGCCCACGCTGGCTTTGAACCAGCTTCTTTAGTAGCTAGGATTACAGGTGTGAACCAATGGTGCCTGGCTAGAATGGCAGTTTGGGAGAGTCTATATAATGTTTCATACAACTTTTTTTTTCTTTTCTTTTTTGCCAGTCCTGGGGCTTGAAGTCAGGGGCTGGGCACTGCTCCTAAGCTTCTTTTGCTCAAGGCTAGCACTCTACCACTTGAGCCATGGTGCCACTTCTGGCTTTTTCTGTGTATGTGGTGCTGAGGAATGGAATCCAGGGCTTCATGTATGGTAGGCAAGCACTCTACCACTGAGCCACATTCCCAGCCCTCATACAACTTTCTAAAAATACACAATCCAGGTAGTTTTTAAAACTAATATTAATGAAGACTCATTTGCTCTGAATACCACTTACCTGCTAATTATGAGACTATTTTCATTTATGTACATGTAATACTCATGGTGATGACAATTAAAATGAATTCTGCCATATATATATATATATATATATATATATATATATATATATATATATATACACACCTTTGCCTGTACTATGAACCAGCTAAGAAGTGATAGGTGTACTAGAAAAAAGAAACAGAAGTTAGACTGAATAAACATAAATCATTGGGATGTTTTTTTTCTTTTTGTCACTCTCAGTTTCATCGAATCTTGTTTATGCCTTCAGCACAACAGATCTTCTAAAAAACCGTGTAGCTCTAATCTCTGCCCTCATTCCCAAGGCTTGAGACCATAAGTATTCATTCTGCCATTTGATACTTCTTAGAGGCTGACCTAGTGCTGAAAACCCTTCCAGTGTGTCCTTACTTCAACTCCCATGATTGGATGGGGCTTGGATGAGGCCAGTGTTCACAGGGCAAGCGCTTCTGCCTAGATTACCTCCACTCGGAATTGTAAGTCACAGCGAGGCAAAGAGACCGCACCACAGTCGTAACTCGCAGAATGAAAATTTTCCCCTCGCATGTTAATGTTTTCACAGTAAGCACTGTTACTGAAAATAGACTTCCTTTTTCCCCTCTCATGCTGGAAAGTCTTAGGTAATTATGAATAAAGCATTCTTTACTTTTCCTCCTGCTCTAATCATGGCTTTCCTATACAATGTGGGTGAGGACTCTGTTCTTGTCTTTTCCCTGAGAACTGAGAACAGATTTTTGAAGATGGAGTTTTTTTTTTTTTTCTCTTTAGTGAAATCATAGCATTACTCAGCTTTCTCTTCTTAGAGGTGAATGGTAGTTAAGGAAAGAAATGGAAAAGTTTATAGAAAAAAGGTAAGATAACTAATAAGGAGGAGAAGAGATTAAAATATTCACTGCTTTGGGGAAAAAGATTTTTACAAGTACCTTTTTGAAAAGTTTTTTTTTCCCAAGCCCCTCCCACCTTGAATCTTATTTTACATTTAGTTTTTACAGTTGGAGAAACTCAGCCTAGGGCTGAATTTCAGTAGTAAATAAACCCAGAGCTTATTTTTAGTACATTTATTAGGGGTGTGTTCTTGGGAAAATTATTTAACTTCTCTAAGCCTTGCTTTATTTGGCAAGAAGCAAAGTAAGTAATAATAGATAATAATAATATGCATATTTAATGGGTAATATGTGTTAAAGCCTGGCATGTTGTAAGTTCTCAATTTTGTACTAGCATTTATTTTATTATTAATAATGTTTATCACACTACTTAATGTTTATCTGTTATTCTATTTCATTTAATTATTTTTTACTTTTTATTTTGCCAAGGATAGAAGAGAAGGCCTACTGCAAACTCAGCAAATGCTCTACAACTGAACTACACGCCGCCCTCCCCCCCCCAGCCCTCTTTCAGAAAAGAGACAAGTGGCTTAGTGGTAGAGTGCTTGCCTGGCATGCACGAAGCCCTGGGTTCGATCCCTCAGTGCCACATACACAGAAAAAGCTGGAAATGGCACTGTGGCTCAAGTGGTAGAGTGCTAGCCTTGAGCAAAAGAAGCTCAAGCACAGTGCCCAGTTCAAGCCCTAGGACTGGCAATAAATAAATACATAAATAATAAATGAGATAAAACTTTCTGTCCTTTTGGAACTGAATTTGAAGTGGAAAATAGACAAAAGAAAAATTAATTTTTTAGTGTATTTAGGGACTGGGGATGTGGTACAAGTAGTAGAATGTTTGCCTAGAGAGGCAAAATAAGGAAGGAAGGAAGGAAGGAAGGAAGGAAGGAAGGAAGGAAGGAAGGAAGGAAGGAAGGAAGGAAGGAAGGAGGGAAGGAGGGAAGGGAGAAAGGGAGGGAGGGAAGGAGAGAGGGAGGGAGAGAGGGAGGGAGAGAGGGAGGGGGAAGGAGGACAAGGAAGTAGTATACTCAATACCAAGAAGTTCTAAACATAAAAGTATAAAAGAAGGCTGAACCAGTGGCTCACACCTGTAATCCTAGCTACTTAGGAGGCTGAAATCTGAGAGTGATAGTTTGAAGCCAGCCTAGGCAGGAAAGTCCAGGAGACCTTTATCTCCAACTAGCAAAAAAGTCCAAAAGTAGAGCTGTGGTTGAAGTGGTAGAGCACCAGTCTTGAGTGAAGAGCTCAAGGAAAAGTTAAGGGATAGTACCCAGCCTTTGAGTTAAAGCTACAGTACTGGCACATGTGCACACGCATGCACACATGTGCATACCCACACATTCACACACAAAGAGCAAAGATAGATTTGATATATTTTAAAGAAAAATCAGGAGAGGACTTAACTGCTAATTGCATATAAGAAGTGAAAGAAGTATCAAAGATTTCTCTTAAAAGTTTAGAATGACCAATCAAGTTTTGGCATTAATGAACTAGAACATTGGGGCATATGGTGAGTTTGAATTCAAGGTGAGTGAACTGACAGTCTAATATAAACATCCTTAAGGTTACTAAAGATAAAACTCATATAAGCAAGATGACACTGGCTCCCAGCTCTGGAGGCTGAGATCTGAGGATCAAGGTTAGAAGCCAGCTCCAATCGAAAAGCATGGTTCAAGTGCTAGAGCACCAGATGTGAGCAGAAAAAGCCAAATAATAGTGAGAGGACCTGCATTCAAGCTCTAGTACTGACGCACAAAAATATTACATAATATTTGATAGGCAAGCTGAATTAAATTTCTAGGAACCATTTTTCACAATGCATTAAAATCTAAAGCTGTAAACTGGGTACTGGCAGCTCACACCTGTAATCCTAGCTACTCAGGAGACAGACCTGAGGATCATGGTTCAAAGCCAGCCCAGGCAGAAAAGTCCATGAGATTCTTATCTCCAGTTAACCACCAGAAAACTGGAAAGGGAGCTGTGGCTCTTAGTGGTCACATGCTAGCCTGGAGCAAAAATGTGTAGGACAGAACCCCAGCTCCAAGTTCAAGTCCAATGACTGACCAGAAGAAAAAAATTCAAAGCTGTTTACATGAGAATATGTGTCCAAGTTATATATATATATATATTTTGGGGGGGGGGTCCGGTCGTTGGGGCCTGAACTCTGGGCCTGGGCGCTGTCCCTCAGCTCTTCAGCTCAAGGCTAGCGCTCTACCACTTGAGCCACAGCGCCACTTCCGGCTTTTTTTCTTTTTGCTTATGTGGTGCTGAGGAATCGAACTTAGGGCCTCAGGCATGCAAGGCAAGAGCTCTACCACTGAGCCACTTTCCCAGCCCCAAGTTTTATATTTTTATTCCACATTGGAGTAATGAAGTCAATGCTAAAAATCATTATCATAGATTTGTAATTGCTATATCATATATAAGTATTTTATTATAATACATAATTAAACTTCTCTTTTTGTCAGTTGTGGGGCTTGAACTCTGGGCCTGGGCACTGTCCCTTGGCTCTTCAGCTCACGGTGAGCATTCTACCACTTGAGTTTTCTGGTGGTTAATTGGAGATAAAAGTATCACAGTTTCCTGGGCTGGGAAGTTGACTCAGTGGTAAAGCGCTTGCCTTGCATGCCTCAGGCCCTGGGTTCGATTCCTCAGCACCACATAAGCAAAAAGAAAA